CGGATCCCTAGTAGGAACGTTTGTTTGCATCATGTGCATTTGACTTTGGAGGCTCAACACAGGGGTTGGGTCTGTCTAGGACAGGTGTACCAAAATGACAAAAGACCATTCTGATGCATCCTACTTGCTACCTGTGCATGTGTTTGCTTCGGACTCGCATGCTGACCGGCTTTTGAATACTTTGAGGAAAGAGAGATAGAGGTAGTTAATCGCCTGTTTTGAAAAAAATGAAATAAAAATCAATGTCCAAATAGCGTCGAAACTCTGTCGAATTTTTGAGAAAAAAAAAGGGTTTTGTTTATGAAAAATGGTTTTTCATTGAAAAGAGTCTTGTTTTCAAAAGAAGTTTGTTTCATCTGCCCGAACTACGTCGGTTTGATTCTCGCCGGATGTGAGATATGTAGGCAACCCTCATCGGGTCCAACTTCCCCTTTTTGCAAATACCCAGAAAATGTCAAAAATTTTAAGTTTCGTCATAAATAAGTCAGGTGACGCCGTTTTTGTCAAAATAGCCGAATGTTCCCAAAAGGGACGCTGGAAGGCTGACTTTGCATAAACAACCACTTGTAGTCATTTTTGGATTTTTGACCGGTTGACTCACCCAGCCTCAAAATCTTCATTCCCGAAGTGATGAAAGGCCGTGTGCGAAACCAGATCTTCCTTTTAATCTGTGGAAAATTAAAAAATAGTCAATTTGTTGAGTCAAATAAATTTTATTTCTTAATCACCTTAATAAATGTGCAGGATGAGCACGATGCAAAATGAACCCTTTTCAATAATGACTAAAATCCCTTTCAAGTTGCGACTATGGTGGGATGATTTAGGTGGTGAAGGGCAAGATGAGGTCAAGAAATATCTAAAGGGTCTTATGGGTTTATTGGAAATCCAGACTCAGGGGGATATCATAAGAGCTTTGGTCACTTGCTGGGACCCGACACACAATGTCTTCCACTTCTTCGATTTTGAACTCACCCCGACTTTGGAGGAAATAGCCGGNCTTTTGGAGCTCCCTGTTTAGCATCTACCCGAACCATAACTTTTCTGAAGCAATTACAAGTAAAGATAGCATGATCACAATGCAATGTAACAAAAAAACAAAGATATGAAGCTTCCGAAGAACATTGCAAGGTAAGCTTTCAGTATTCCGTTAACAGATTTTTTAATTTTCATCTGATGATGCTTTTCTTTTGCCGTTTTCAATAGGTATGTCTGATGGTGTTTTCTTCCACGTGTACACGGAAAAAAAAGAATTTTATGCAATTCTCACTTAATGGTTTTCAGTAGATATGCCAAAGCATGAGTTGTCAAACAAATTGTTTAACACATCACTCCAGAAAACAACAGAATCTTTTAACATAATAAAATACATAGTGCGAAATAGATAAGGGAGTAGCATATAATGTATCATGTGAACATTTATTTGTCTGTTTATTCTAAAATAAAAGATCGGCTATTGACCAAAAAGGAAGAAATGGAAGTATTAGTTTAACCGGACAGCTATGTCGTTTTCTGAGTTGGTCAGTAGATGCCAAGCTGATTATTTCTCGCTTCAAGCATACCAGATCAGGAGATCATCATGCCTCATTCTCTTCATCATTGTTATAAGGGGTTGGTTCTTCTAATTTAAGTGGAGAATGAGGTAATTCTTCAGGAATTTATGGTTACAAATGCAAAAACTGGCACTAATCTCCATCAGCCATCACATAATCGCAGATGATACTGCATTTTTGGGATGAGGAAATTCAAGTTTGCAAAGTAAAAGACTCCATCAGGGCGCCAATTGGCAAAAGGAGAAAAGCACAAACAATGTGCATTAAATATGCATGACTTAATGCAAGAAGTAGAACCGAAGATTAATAGGAAGTAGCCGGCATTACTTTCCCCATTCTGGAGGAGGATTCCATGCTGATAAAAGCATATCCGACTTGGCGTTGGGCAGGCAGTTCCTCACAACAAAGTACTTTATTGTGAACTTAGCAATTCCAATATCTTTGTAATCCCGGTCAAAATCATATATCTGCATTGAGAAATGGAAAATAAAGCATTTTGATTCAAGTGATTCCATGTGAAAGAAGCTACAAGTAATCACTTTTTCCTCGTCAAACGCATTACTAAATCAAGAGAGCTTCCTCCCTAAGGAAATAGCAAGAGGATAGCTAGCCTAAGCCCTGATCTTCTTAGCAGGTACTTTACCGTTCAAACAGAGGCGGATCTAGGATTTGAAGGTGACAGGTGCCATAATTTCTTTTAATGTATACCTTATAATGACTAATATGAAATTTATTAGGAATGTTTATTCGATTTTTTAAATAAGGAATCATACCTTAATTATAACAACATAAGTAAAATCAACATTTTCACTAGGAAATTACATCTTTTTTTATATATTAAAAATAAATTTACACAAGATAACATCTTGAATGAGGGAATTACATCAAGCAGAATAATATATTTTTTAAAAATATTTTCAATAGATAAATTATATCCCACAAGTATAGAATTAAATAAACTAGGAGTTCTCAAAAATCAAAATCATAAATCTCATATTTTTTAAGCAATGCTTAGAAATTTTTTGTTATATTTTAATAGTAAAGAGATTTAAATTATATTTAATAACCATAGAATAACATAAATGTTTATGATATAACTAAAAAAAAGATGAAAAAAATTTGATCTCAATCGAAAATTCCCATTAGGACTCAAATTTTTCGGATATGAAAGAAGCAAACTCATAAATTTGAGATTAAGAGGAATGCTTATTTTATAAAATTTTATAATATTGGAGTCTCTTTTTTGAGTGTTTTTGTTAGAGACCACATATAAATAATAGAATAAAGAAAAGAAAAATACAAAAAATAATGAAACGATAAATAGAAAATTGGGAGGGAGCCAAGAAGGAAAATGATTGGGAACAAAAGAAATAAAAAGCACACGAAAAGGAAAAGTCGGACAAGGTTCAAGATAATTTTCAACTTGAATTTTTCACACGAGAAAAGCTTTCAAAAAGATCTACCAGTCATGGCAGAGATAATTTTCAACTTGAATTTTTCACACGAGAAAAGCTTTCAAAAAGATCTACCAGTCATGGCACCTTTGTTTAATTTACAGTTGCGGGTGGTAGGATTAGATATTTAACCTAATTTAAGAAAATTTCGACATTGGTATATAAATTTTTTATCATCTTAGCGGGTGCCATGCCACTCCATGGTAAAGGGGTGGATCCGCCCCTGCGTTCAAATGTAAGTTTCCTGGTTTGAACTTTGCTATCTTGAACCTCATTTCTAATGCAGTTTTTTCTAGGTAAAATAGTGTGATATGTCCAGCTAAACATTGACTAGACCAGCCAAAAATGATTCGATCATTTTCTAGCAGTAAATCAGAGTAGATGAAGACTCTCACATGAACAAGGAATGATTTATTTAGATTAACAATAGAAATCGTAGTTCGGAAGGTTTTCCTTTCCACAAATTTTGCATCTCCATATTGTGGATTAGTATGTAATTTTTCAATATTTGCTGTTCATTAGGAGGAAAGGAGGTATTCTCATTTTGCAGAAAAGTGCCACTTTTCATATTAGAACACTCAACCTAGCATAATTGAGAGTGCAAAACACTAAGTTATCAAGTGTTTACCAATACATTACCGGATTTGAGAAATTTTTAACTCCTAGAATAATCAAAAGATTTAGGTGCTAGTTTGCTGTAAAACGATGGTACAGTTTAGACTACATTGACTATCTTATGTTTTTTGGATGGAAGCACAAAGGTGGTCCCTGAACTAATACACACAAAGAATTAGTTAAATGAAAAACAAATACCAGACCTCCAAGCCAACAGTTCCCAGATATTGTAACTCATTTTGTTGAAGGATGTCAGTATTTCCTGTCAGCTGACTAGTCTGACATAAAAGCTACTGATGAAGGATATGCATATTTTTTAACTAGTGTTACTTTAATAGAGAAACTCCGCGGGAATTTCAGCCAAGCAAAGACAGAACCAAACATGATGAAATTATATAGAGACTCACCATGTCATTTATTTCAGCTTCAGCAAATGATTTACCATCCACAAGCATACTCCAGACCAGTTTATTAATTTGCAAAGAGATGCGCATAGCACAAGAAGGACTTTTGTTTTTTTCTTTCTCCATCAACCGTATCTGTGCAGCCTTCTGTAAAGCCATCCTTAGAGAAGCAGATGCAACTTTTTTTGATTTTTTAGCATTTACCAGCTCTTTCTTCAGTTTTTGCACCTGTAGACAGTCAACATAACAGGCATTCACTTTAATACACCTCCTATTTATAATTATAATAAAATCTGTACAACGTCAAATGAATCTATCAGAAATTTGTGGAAGAGACGAGGGGCCAAACACGCAAATCGTCAGAACTAGGGTAAATTCCTCAGAAAGTAGTTGCTAGGTTTCATAATGGGGCACAGTTCGGAAAAAATGAGTCTAAAGCCAACCAGCCAGTTGTTATTAGGATTAACACAAGTTGGCTGCAAAAGCTTCTCATTAAGGGTAAAACAGGTAAAATGGATAGTTTAACATTAAATATTCCAAATATAGAAACCCGTCAATTTTTTTGGAATAGACGAACAAAGGGAAGTGTCATATAAATTAAAACGGAGAGAGTAATTGTTATTTGTCTTTATAGTTACATTTTTTGTTTTTGCATTACATAGATATGTTTTATCTTTTTCCTCACTGCACCTTTCATTGAAGAAGTTCACTCTTTAAATCGCCTTTCGTTTAAGGCCCCAACAGACCTTTGGCACTTTAATATGCTTTTCGCATTTGACAACACTGTTATTTCACAATAAAAAAGGTATGGGACTTGTACCACATTCATAAAGTTAAAGTGCTTCAGAGAGTTCCTGTCTTACCAATATGGACCTTCCACCACTAAGAATCCAGAGATCACCTTCCTTTACGGGGCCCATGTCCACGGAAACATCAGTAGAAAGAGATAATTTCCTAATATCTTCCTGGATCAACTTCTGGACTCGTTCTTCACGCTCAAGCTCCACTCTTGCTAATTCTACCTCTTCCACTCCATCAGGAACGACTTCATCAGCCTCTTCTTCATCATCTTCATCATCACCTTCTGAATATGAGAAACTAACTTTTCGAGGCCTGAATTAGCATTCCAATTTAATTTAGTTGAGAGCTCAACAAAAAATGAGGATTGAGAAGCAACTGGTCTAACATCCAAGTATATTAAAGGGTTCAAAGGAACAATATGCGATAGATGCATTCACTTCCACAAAGACAAATTAAAAACAACAAGATGTTAAAATTAATGACAAAAATTTTAATAGGTGTCTGTACTTTGGAGCCCGAGCAAGGAGAAGATTGGTCAACACATCTAACATAACTTGAAATTGACGAGACGTCATTGCTGCTGTTATGTTATGAGAATTGAATGAAAGCTCCTTCAAGGGTTTCACCTGGATAAAACATTATCATAGTTGAGAATCAAACAAAAGATAGTACACTTGTGATCCCATGAAACAATGTCAACAGGTTGTCACAGATTCAGACACAAGGCATACCTTCAACTGTGTTGTTCCGCCTTTATGTCTAGTGTAGCGGAAATACATATCACAAGGCATAAACACTCTTTCAAGTAATGCTCCAGTGCGTTTAACTTTAGGTGAGCTTCTCCGAATTTTAGGAAGCCACTGCAGTCCAGCCCCTGGATCTACATCAGTTGGGGCGACATGTGCCTGTACCTGTTCTAACATCACAGACAACTCCATGCGATTCCACGTCATTTGTGGTTGAGACTCGGGAATTTGGACATCTCCTCCACCAAGAGCTTGCTCAATCACTTCATAGCCAATGGAAATAACTGAATGGAATGAACGAGCCAAAACACGACCACTCACAGCAGCTAACAGAAATCTACCCTGTCAAGGAGGGAGGGTTCTGTAGCATTAGCATACATGAAAATTCAAAGCATTGCTATAGATTTCACATACATAATATTTCCCCTTTCTTGTCATTGTATGTTGGATTACAAATTTCCCTGACAATGCTTACATCACAACTCTCAATTGAACATCACAAGTTTGTAACAATACATTGATACTCTTATAAGAGTAAGGCAATTTCTAAGGCTCCTCTAGCACTCGATGCTATAAAATGAATCACACTTGGAATTTGGAAGCACTTGAATAAAGCCAAATGAAGGAAATTATCATAAAATAAAACTAAAGCTGAATGAAGAAGCACAAATTCATGTAGGTAGAAGCTGTTAATAATTTATAGTTAAGTTGAGCTGCATAGAGCACAAAGTGATCAGGGTGTTTCACCCGCCATCATGACAGGTTAAGCACCTCAATGCACACCTTTCGGTTTTAAGAGAATTAGTATGAGAAACAAGAGTATAAACAAAGCTAATTTCATAAAAAGATATCAGTTACTTGATTGTGTTTCCTCTCTCTTCAGCTATATTACATCTAGAGAATGATCAAGCGAGATAGAAAGAAAATAAACAAATATTAATAATCAAATATGAATAATGATAAAAAGAAACTAGGAAATTATGACCTTGCTAGAATTGACAATTGATCCAAGAATGACTCTTTATTAACTTACATTTGCATCCTCCGAGTGAAGGTTGAATTGTGGTTCAATGACGTTCACCATAAAATGGCGAGTCCCCTCCCCCTCAGAGTCTTCAGCAACACCAAGCTTTGCTGGTAATAAAGAGAAAAAAAGGACAAAATACAACAATAAGCATTTAGCAGCAAGGAGTTCAAACAGTGAGAAGTCCAGCAAAAGATTCTCATGCACATCTCAAAGAGTATGTAAATGTTCATATTGATCACATGCACATGCAGCTATCTCCAGTTGGTGCAACTGATTGTCAAAATATGCCGGCAAGTAAACTGGATAAACCTAATACCTAGACATACTAGAAAAAGTTGTCCCTACTAGTCACTGTAAAATAAGTGAAATGCATAGCCTAACTTTATAGGTAGACACTTGAAAAAATTGTGGTGTTAAGCTTCCCTATGCCTCAGAGAAGAATACACATTCTATGTCCAAAGTATGATAAAAATTTCAAGTTTCAGTTAGAGCTTACCAGTAGAACTAGACTGAGGAGTGTCTGCTTTAACTGCATTTGATGGCGGTGGTTCTAATTGTGATTTTGGTGGCCCTGCTTGTTCTGGAGGAGACTTACTATTATCATCTTGACTCCTTGATGGCCCTGCATCTTGACTCCTTGACGGCCCTGCATCTTGACTGGGAGGAGACTTCTGGTTACCATTTTCATGCGATTCAATACTATTAATCACCTTACTTTCCTCCAGCAGCTTTCGTTGCGCATATTGCCTAGAGGGAGATGGTTTTGAAGGTTCAAAGGCTTTAGATAATCCAGCTACCCAGGACCGAACAGCATCTCTTATTTCAAGTGTCCACAAAATCTTAAGACCATAGACGAAGATACGTTGACAATTATCTGCTATTACTACATTGTATCCATCATCGTCACTTGGATCAGATCTTGTCTTGTCCTCACTTTCACTCTCATTATCAACTTCAGACTTAACGCATGTCGTCTCAATATTTCTTCTACCAGCTTCTTGCCATGCCAATAACCTCTCTGGGTCAGCCTTTGGGGATTGCCTTCTGATCGTGAAATATTCGGATGATAAAAGAAAACCGTCATCTTGATATCTGTCCATGCTGCCACTCATACTGCCAAGTTTATCATTAGTAGAAGTATCCAAAACTGCAGTTTGTGATTCTTTTCTAGCCTTTTGAACTACTTTTGCAACACTAATGCTATCATCTCTACTGATAAATGCCTTTGGAATGTGAAGGTCAATACCTTGGTACACAAGTTCAAGAGGGTCTCGTACACTCTCAAATGTGTACTTTTGCTTACCCCGGCCTAAATAAATTTCAAATTTTAACTTTGTCATTGTAAATGTCAGCCCCTTTGCCGGGTCATCATCATATAAAGGCATATGCTTTATGCATGTTGGTGTTGAATCAATTCTAAACATAAATTCAGTCATTACTCTGTCCAATGACAGATTGCCAGATCTAGGAATTCTTGGAACTCCAAAACGCGGCCATCTTGAAAAGGTCCGCAACTTCTGAGGAGGAATGAAGTTTAAGTTCCAAAATTTGATTAGCCATGCCAAATCATGAGGACCAACCTGTATTGTTGGTGAATTGACTGCCCCGGTATCTTTCTTTTGAGCACCAAAGGCAGCAGTGCTCGAGAGACCCTGATTATCCGCAGAGGATACCTCTGACTGATTATCACGGAAGGGAAGAGAGGGCCTAAGCAAAAGATTCCACCGTAGGGACAGAAAAGTTGACCTAAAGGGATCAAAAACTTTTTCACGAGGCACACCTTCATTTGGAAGAGCAAACAAATAATGGTTTAGAGGATTTCCAGAATCACAATCCCATTCCATTAAAACTTCAACACTCAAGGCCGGGGCTTCTAGGAAAGTGCAGGAAAAGCCAGTTGGATGTTTTAAGTCAGTGTTCCTCGACAAGCTATCCAAACTGCTTAATAGAATCTTGAAGTCCTTCACAAAAGCATAAATACGACCATCTGCCTGCTGGATCTCCATATACCCAGATGCTATCTGAAGCTTGTTGGACTTTTCATAAGGATCTGTACTGGAAAGAATATTGATTTGAGACTCATCGAAATATAAGGTGGAGCTCCCATGAATGTAGTGTCTCATTTCATCCCACCATGGCAAGCTCTTTTCCTTTTTAGGTGGAGGAGGATCCGGATTTGGATTTCTGATGCTCAAATTGGCCCTACGAAGGGCCACAGTGAAAGCATAGCTGAGATCAGTCAATGCAGGTTCAAAACCAACTCCATACGAAATTTCTGCTTTCTGAAAGTGTAAGGGCAAATCCAAATATGTTTTCATTGGTGGAGTTGTCCCAGTGACTGATCGAAGCAAACGGACCTTCCTCCATCTCCCAATGAACACATTTTGCTGCATTTGGGGCTGAAAAGGTGTTGCCTGCAGTTAATATGGACGAAAAAGGTTCATCAAAATGCCAGTGGGTACATTAAAAGATTTCCATACATTCAAAAGGTAACTCATGAGTAAACCTTTTCAAAAACACTGATAAATAAACTTCTCAAGAAAAAAAAAGTAAAAAAGGAAAAGTTAGACGTCTAACATCTTCTGCTTTAGGATTATCTAATTCCAAGGTGCAAAGATAAACATAAATTTAAATGGTATTATTATCTCACCGAAATTATTTCACCTAGTAGAATTTTAGTAACAGCTTAGCAAAGATAAACATAAATTTAACTGGTATTATTATCTCACCAAAATTATTTCACCTAGTAGAATTTTGGTAACAGCTTATAAAATCTTTTCTTCTGGATATCATCAGATTGATACAGTTGAATTTAGTAGTCTTGTCAACTTCAGCATACTGATGAAACTTGGCAGCAAGAGTTATATACACGCACAAATCAGGAGTTTGTTGAGCATTAAGTAAAATAGAACTTGCCCACAGAGTAAAAATAGAAGCAGAAGTACTTGTCCGTGTTGCCTTGACAGTTAACACAATAGAAAGTGAAGTTTGACATGACAAAGGCAACACTAAAGACTGCACTATTATGAAAATAATGTTTTGATTTGTTCCTTATAGCGTAACATTGTAGTACTAATATCAAAGCTGATAGCTATTTCATGATGAATTGACTGGGCAACCATATTCATCCGTCATGATTAAGTTTTAAAATAGTATGGGTCCTGCTAATATTTCCAGTACTGCGGCAAGTAAAAATGGTGCTTTGATAGGCAAAGTTCAAAACAACAGAATCTGCATGTGCACTACTTATGTCTAGTCTCGTCAATGTATTAGAATGACCATAAAATAGCAAATTGCAATAAATTTGGGAGGAATAATTGAAAACTATTAGATGGGGAATCTCCAACTCTCTACATTATGAGAAGCAGTTGCGAGAATGCATGGGAGAAAAATATTATTCTTGATGTTAATTGTAATACAATGAACCCTATTTATAAATACACATAATACATAATCTACTCCATACGGGACTCAGACTAATTACATATATATTCACAAAGCTATTCTAACACTCCCCCTAGCTGGTGCATACAAATCATATGTACCGAGTTTGTTACATATATAACTAATACGAGGACAAGTGAGGGACTTGGTGAAAATATCTGCAAGCTGATCATTCGACTTCACAAACTTTGTAGTAATATCTCCTGAGAGTATCTTTTCTCCGACGAAGTGACAGTCAATCTCAATATGTTTAGTTCTCTTATGGAACACTAGATTCGATGCAATATGAAGGGCAACTTGATTATCACAAACAAGTTCCATTTGGCTGATCTCACCAAATTTCAACTCCTTGAGCAACTGTTTGATCCAAACTAGCTCACATGTTGCTATAGCCATTGCTCGATATTCTACTTCTGCACTAGACCGAGCAACGACATTCTGTTTCTTGCTCTTCCAAGATACCAAGTTACCTCCTACTAAAACACAATATCCAGATGTTGAAAGTCTATCAGAAAGTGAACCTGCCCAATCAACATCTGAGTATCCAACGGTTTGCTCATGGCCTCGATCCTCAAACAATAGTCCTTTGCTTGGAGCTGATTTTATATACCGAAGAATGCGGACAACTGCATCCCAATGACTATCACAGGGAGAATCCATAAACTGACTTACAACACTCACAGGAAAGGAAATGTCAGGTCTAGTCACTCTGAGGTAATTTATTTTACCAACCAGCCGCCTATATCTTGCAGGATCGCTAAGCGGCTCCCCCTGCGCTGGCAGAAGTTTAGAATTCGGATCCATAAGAGTGTCAATAGGTCTACAGCCTGTCATTCATCTCTCCTCAAGAATGTCTAAGGCATACTTCTGTTGTAAGATCACAATACCTGAGCTAGACTGAGCGACCTCAATAACCAGAAAATACTTTAATTTGCCCAGATCCTTAGTCTGAAAGTGCTGAAAGAGATGCTGCTTCAACTTAGTAATATCATCCTAATCATTGCCTGTGATAACAATACCATCAACATAAACCACCAGATAAATACTGAGATTTGAAGCAGAATGCTAATAAAACACAGAGTGATCAGCTTCACTACGAGTCATGCCAAACTCCTGAATAATTGTATTGAACTTACCAAACCAGGCTCGAGGAGACTGCTTTAGACCATAGAGGGACCGGCGTAACCGACATACAAGATCACTAGACTCCTCCTGAGCAACAAAACTAGGTGGTTGCTCCATGTAAACCTCTTCTTCAAGGTCACCGGGAAGAACAACATTCTTAATGTTCAACTGATAGAGAGGCCAATAGCGAACAACAACCATGGAGAGAAAGTATCACCGTAATCGAGCCCAAATATCCGAGTGTACCCTTTGGCAACAAGACGAGCCTTAAGTCGATCAACCTGGCCATCTGGACCAACTTTGACGGCATACACCCAGCGACAATCAACAGTCAATTTACCCGAAGGAAGTGGAACAAGCTCCCAAGTACCACTCGTATGTGAAGAAGACATCTCGTCAATCATAGCATGTCGCCATCCTGGATGAGATAGTGCTTCACCTGTAGACTTAGGGATGGAAACAAAGGACAAAGATGATACCAATGCACAATCGGGTGATGACAGACGATGATAACTTAAACCGACATAATGAGGATTAGGATTAAGTGTAGACTGTATACCTTTCCGTAGTGCAATCGGTTGGCTAAGAGGAGACAAGTCCACAGTATTAGCAGGGTCAGGTGCAGGACGTGAGTCAGATGAGCCTAATGTTGTGCGTGGACGACGATGATAAGTCAGGAGTGGTGGAGCTGCAGAAGGTTGCACTGAACTAGGTGGTGGAGCTGCAAAAGGTTGAACTGGACAAGGTGGTGGAACTGGAGCTATAGATGGTGGAGCAGCAACTAGAGCCGTAGGTGGTGGAGCTGGAGTTGTAGAGGAAGTTGAATGGGAGATAGTGACTGAATCTCCAAAAGATGGAACTGGTAGCACCTCAGAAATATCTAAGTGATTACCTAGACCTGTGAAATATGATTGGGTTTCAAAGAAGGTAACATCAGCCGACATAAGGTACCGCTGGAGGTCAAGAGAATAGCCTTGATACCCCTTTTGCGTTCTCGAGTAACCCAAAAATACGCACTTAAGAGCACGATGAGCTAACTTATCTTTTCCTGGAGTAAGGTTATGAGCAAAACATGTGCTCCCAAAGACACGAGTTGGAAGAGAGAACAAAGGTAAGTGGGGAAACAGGACAGGGAATGAAACTTGATTCTGGATAGCTGAAGATGACATACGATTAATAAGATAGCAAGATGTAAGAACCGCATCCCCCAAAAACGCAACGGAACATGAGACTATATGAGTAGGGTACGAGCAGTTTCAATAAGATGTCTACTCTTTCTTTCAGCTACCCCATTTTGTTGAGATGTGTACGGACAAGATGTTTGATGAATAATTCCATGAGAGTTCATAAACTGCTGAAATGGAGAAGACAAATACTCTAGGGCATTATCACTACAAAATGTGTGGATAGAAACCCCAAATTGATTTTGAATTTCAGCGTGGAAGGTCTGGAAAATAGAAAACAACTCAGACAAATTTTTCATCAACAATATCCAAGTGCACTTGGAATAATCATCAATACAACTGACAAAGTAGTGGAATCCCAAGGTAAAACTGACCCGACTAGGACCCCAAACATCTGAATGGACTAACGTAAAAGGTGGCTCTGCTCGATTATCAAGATGCCAAGGTAAATGGGAGCGGGTATGCTTACCGAGATGATATGACTCACACTCTAGAGTGGACAAGTGAGATAAACCAGGTACCTTCTGAAGTTTTGACAAACTGGGATGTCCCAACCGTTTATGTAATAAATCTAGTGAATCGGTAACAACACAAGTTATTGAAGGAAGATAAGATGTGAGTCCATGTGATTTTGCAAGTATAAGGTAATAAAGTCCATCTGATTCACGCCCGGTACCATTGATCTGCCTCGTACTGCGTTCCTGTGTAAAAACAAGGTCATCAAGAAATAAAACAGCGCATTTAAGTGATTTGGCTAAGCGACTAACGGCTATGAGATTAAAAGGACTATTAGGAACATAAAGGACTGAATTTAAAGGTAAGGAAGGAAATGGGCTTGCTTGACCTATTGCAGTTGCCATGGTTTGAGACCCATTGGCCATTGTGACTGTTGGAAGAGATTGAGAATACGAACTACCAGTGAAAAGAGATTTGTTACCAGAAATATGATTAGATGCACCTAAATCAATGACCCAAGACTCAGAGGTTGAAGATTGGGAGACACAAATCACGCTACTATCTATTTGAACAACGGAAGCTATCCCTGAAGATGTCTGTTTACATGCTTTGTACTGAAGGAATTCAATATAATTCGGTAAAGAAACTGCCTGGATTGCATTGGATCCAATGTATTGTGAGTCAAAGGCTTGTGATATGAATTCCATTATAATGTTTAAGCCGGAAAAAGCAATTTTTTGGAATTACTGTTCACGCTGGAAAAATATAAAAGTGGTTGGAATTTGATTTGAACTAGATGGGTAGGCTCGGAATTGTGAGGAGAGCAGTCTGTCTTGAAGAAGTTTCGCGAAAAATTGGCCGGAAAGTGACCCACGCGCCGGCGCGTAGGTCGGAACCCTCACCGAAAAAGTTTCTCTTGACGGCGCGTGGAGGCGCGTGGCAGATTTTCTGCCGGAGAAATTTTAATGGGTTGGTCAACGGAGGGTGATATACCTCGTGGTGGTGTTCGTTTTTGCACAACGCCGACAGAAAATGACTTTCACGTAGACAGGCCTTAGGTCACCGGAAAAATTGCACGATGACTAAATTTTTTCTTCCCGATTAACACTGGAATGACGCACTACGATCTTTTCTCACTAATGCTCTGATACCATGTGAGAATGCACAGGAGAAAAATATTATTCTTGATGTTAATTATAATACAATGAACCCTATTTATAAGTACACATAATATATAACTTACTCCTATTACATACAGGACTCGGACTAATTACATATATATTCACAAAGCTATTCTAACAGCAGCAATTTCATTTTCACATCATACAGAGAAAATGAAGTATATACAAGTATTGCAGGATATCCAGAAACAAAATCAAGCAGACAGAAAATGCTGGAAAAGTTATTTGCCTTTTCATGACCATATATATTCAGAAAAAGCCATAGGGGTTTGGGGGTTTGAGGAGGATGAAAAATACAAAGAACTAAAGATTGTACCTGCTGAGCCATTACAAGACGGCCTTCACATCGGCCTGAATTAGCAGCAAGAAGCGGAGATGTGTAGTTTCTTATCCGAACAACAAGAGAACCTGTATGCAAATTGATGTTACCACCATATAATCGTGAAAATGGGATGCTATGTGCACGGCATACTGGATCAAGCTTTTGCAGAAGCTCTATCATCCCTGCATCACCTCCTTCAATTTTTGTCAAGCTTACATCTAATTCGGTAGCAGAAATTGAAAAAAGAGAAGTTCTTGCAGTGCTAAGCTTGAAGCCCGCTTGAAATCCTTCATTACAGGCCCCAGAGCCTTCTGCCAGAACAAGCTTTTTGCATGCCTGGTAATATGACCTGAATGACTGCTTGTAGATCTCCTCCCGCAGTTTCTGAATGGCTGAAGTATCCTCTACATCGATCTCTTCTCCAGTAATATTGATCTTGCCATCATCAAGAGGATCATTTCCTTCAGCGGAACCTTCACATTTTCCGCCTTTGGAAATAAGTTCATCAAGAAAGTTTAATCTGACCGCTGATTCACAGGCCCCGTTCTTCCATAGCTGATAATGTTCATCAAGCCATCCCTGTATTGGTTCTTCTTCAATATCAGCCGTGAGCTTCTTTATGCAGAATCTGACTCGACCAATTTTTGTTGAACTAGTCTTTTTAACTTTCGGTTTCTCTTCCTTATTGGGAAACATAAGTTTAGTCTTTGCAGCAGTTACGAGCTTTAAAGCTCGAATCATTTCCTCAACAGAATCGTCTATTGCACGCAATTGCAACCTGTATGGCATGCATATATGAACATCAAGGGCTTGAATTACCCAATCCCATGTTGTGCCATTCTCAGTTTTTTCATTTGGTGCGCTGCTAGAGGGTTTGGGAATACGAGAAATTTGCATCCTGCTGCTTCTAAATAGTCTTGCATTGTTGAAGCTGAGCACGATCCCTTCAAGAAGCATACCTATCCGAGCATTTTCTGAAAAGATCGACTGCACCTGAACTGCTGTCTCAACACCATCTCCAACTTCAGCAGATATATTAAGCACTTCCACATCAACAGCAAAAACTGATTCTCTTTTCTTGTGTTGTTTCTCCAGCTGTAGTGATTCTTTGGAGGTCTCTTTGCCCTGCTCATTATCTTTAAAATCTCCTTCTTTAGCAGGTTCTTGAAGCTTTTGATTGTGCACGAGCAACTTCAATTGCAGGCCCAGCTCAAACAATGCTATATGCGCATCAGGCTCCCATCTAACTGATATATCGCTGGCACTAAAGAGAGAGCACGTCGCAATCTCTTTAAGGCCACCAGATCGTTTCACAAACTTTGTATTCTGCATATCAAGCAATGTAACTTTAGTGACAAGGTTTCTGTCTTCTAAATGTTCTTGAAAAATAGATTTGGCTCTTTCAAGCTCCACCTGTGTCGATTGTTTCTCCTTGTTCATACAAAATTTTAGGTGGAAAATATCAAGGGACACAGAGTACTTCACTTTTTCTAATTCATCTGAAGCTGTAGATATTATATTTGCAGTGCGGGGAGTACCATCAGCTGAAACACTAATCACAATACGACCACCCTGAGATCCATAATTGACCCGTTTCGGGTCAGGAACAACAGCATTTTCCAAGCCCGCCTCTCCAATTATATTTAAAGAGCACTGTTGTAGATTAAATTTTATTTCTTGAATCCCTTTTCCTGATGGCTTGGATGATTTCGTTCCCTGGGTATTTGGTTTCTTACCAGTGACAGAGAAACTCTTCAGGAAACATTTGAAAGAAAAAGCTGCTGATATCAGGGATGCGAGGCGCCTATAGGTCAAGCATATACCCATTCCAGGAACATCAACAGAGAGAACTTTTTTACAGTTAAGTCCCTCTTCAGGTGAATCCAAATCTTTCCTGCCCATATCAAGACTGACTTTTGCTATATGAATTAGTGAACTAATGTTTTTTTCAACCCCAAACAGGTCCTTTATGCATTCTTGATGCTCGTCAGACATGTTTAGATTGAATTCAACAATTTCTGTTTGCATTAATGGGCCTGCACTTGATGTATTATTGGAAAAGACATGTAAAGACTGAGAACAAGCCTGCAATATACAGATAACAAAGGACGATGCATCATATTTCTTTGATAACGAAGTACGATGCATCATATTTAAACAGGAGGATGAAATAACGTGTCTACTACAAAAATATTCTACAGACACCAGCTGACAACCTAGTTATCCATGCTAATACTGATGTAACATTTTTTGACTATTTTGAATAGAAAGGGAAACTCATTGTCAGGAGAAACTAAATGTCTAGAACGCAACATGTCCTTGATTACATGGAAAAAAGAAATCAGTTCAAGCAAAAGGTCACCAACTCGGTGAGTCCCTTGTAGCTGAGAGATGTAAATTATAGGAAAGAGTTCAAGACCAATAGCTTTACTATGTTGAAGCCAAACTACCATCTTAATCCGTAGAGTTTCAGCAGATCTATACTCAGATATTTAAGCATTGTATTCTGGCTAAAACAACAAATAGCTGAAGTAAAATCATGCAAAAACCAAACTCAATTTTTTTGTTTGAGCTTGGATCACTAAATGTTTTGTGTGAAGTAAAGACACAAAAGATTTGAGAAGGAATAAAGAGAAGAATTTCATGTAAGGGACAACGTCTCAAACAAGAGTCAAAGATGTCCATAGGATATCAGAAGTCTTACATGACAGAATGGCAAGCCATTCAGATCATAGACCATTATACTCATTTCAGGGGCCGAAATAGTGGCGGTCCACATAATGGTTTTATGATCAGATGACTTTATTTTTTCACGAGTAGAACTTTCTTCTCGGAGTACCATCTTCTTTTTCTTTGAAGCATGAAGGCGCATCCAAGGATTTAATCTTGTAATTATGAGGTTGCACCGCGTACCTCCAAGCTTAACACCAATTTCAGATCTGATCGGTGAAGCAGGCTGAAAGTAAAATGTTATGTATGATCAAATTGCAGGAGAAGAATTGACATAATTAAGACATACAGAAACAATGAATGCCAAAGGGGAAGCATGAAAAAGATGATATACAGCAAAAGGGGAACATGTCATGGATAGAACATTAGTTTAACTTATATCCATCCTTATAAATGATGCTGGTAGAGGAGCACACATATTGAGGTGAAACCTTAACAAGCACAACATATGTTACAGGAGAAACATGCAAAATCATGCAAACCTTTCAACTCCTGATAAAGAAAATAGAAAGCATGAATAGTAACTAAAACCAGTGTTAGAAACCAAAGAAGTTCTATATTTCATATCTAGAAGAGAAGATTACAAGGCCTATTTATAATACTAATTCACCTAATCTATTAGTTGCCATACACCTAATTACACCTACTATACAACTCATATACATGTGCTAGCTATGATGTAGTACATGTGTATACATGTGCTACACAACTTGTNCAAGTACAGTGAACAGTGCCGGAACAGTGATCTTGGAAAATGAAAGTTGTCAGGAAAAAAAAATTCTGACAGTACCACTTTGGTCGGAATAGTGAGTAGAAAAATCTGTAAAGAAG